GTGCTGAGAGGAAAGATGGCAGTGGAAGAAACATCCAGGATTCCACTTGTCTAAGGAGAGGATGGAAGAGGCAGACACAAGAGGAAAGGGGGGTGTCCTAGGCAGGAGAAGAAAAAGCAGAGAGGAAAATTAATAATGATTTTCAAGCTCCTAGACCCTGTTAAAAGGAGGGATCATTTTGCTCTTGTGAGAGAACACGTCAAGGACTGAGGAGGGACAGGACAAAGGATTTATCTGCAACCATTGGGCCATCAGCCCTGGGAAACAAAGAGACTGTGGAGAGTCCTCCATGGGTAGGAGGTTGGGAGGCTTGGATGCAATAAGGGTGGTGTGAGCTGGGGCAGAGAGACCCTTCTCCAGCCCTCTGATCCCAAGGCCACTGTGATTTTAGGATAACACTCCTGTGGGTTTTGTTTCTTATTTTGTTTTGCCACCTACAGGCGTGGTCTCCAGTTTCACATCATCCTATGGGTCTGTGTCTCCGACTGTCTCCTTCCAGCCCTTGGTCCATTCTACCCCCAGGGCAAGCTGCTTTCCTGGACCCCCAGTGTCAGCTCCATCTATTGGCACCTCCTCCTCCTCCACTGGCTTGGCCTCTGCAGGAGGTGCTGGTGACCAGGCTGAAGGTACCATCTGCTCCAGCGGGGCAGGGGTGCCCACTAACTCAGCATTTGGCAGCACAGTGCCATCCAAGTTGTCCACCAGCTTGAAGCCCCCTGGTGCAATGCCCACTAATGTGCTCACCAGTCTAGCACCATCCAAATTGCCCATCAACTCAGTGCATTCTGGCATGGTGCCACCCAAAGTGCCTACTGGCTTGGTGCCTGACCACAGGAAACATATGTGCACGGTGCCCAGAAAGCTGCCTGCCAACACAGGGCCCACCATCAGGAACAGCAACAGACTCGTGGAGGTGAGTCCTCGCCCCTCCTAGCAGTGATCCAGGCCTCTTCCTTGTACCCTTTCCAGTCTCCATTCTGTCTCCAGCCTAGGCTGGTCTAGGGCTTCTTCTGAGGGCATAGGGAGAGCTGAGACCTAGCCTCATCCAGACCTAACACCATGCCCTTTAGAGTAATAATAATCATTAGAACTCTTAAGTGTGAATGCTTCAGGAGGGTCAGGCTTGCTGGGCCACCTCCACTGGTCACATGCATTAACCCATTTAGAGCTCACAGCTCCCTTTTAAGCTCATCAATACTATTTTGCAGGTGAGGAAACATTGAGGGGTAGAGCAGGGTAGCCTGTTTGCCTCGATGCCTTTCTCTTCACCACTGGGGCATCTGGCCTGCCCCACCATGACCAGGGTTTTACAGTCCCAGCCCATCCATCTCTGACCCTAGCGACCTCCACAGTTGCCTGCTCGGAGCCTGCACGTCTAACCCTACTACTGCTGTCTGTCTGGAAGAACCAAGTCCATGGGGCCCCTTGGGTGCATGGCCCAGCCTCTGACCCTGTGGCTGCTTCATGGCCATCAAGCCCAGGCATAATGTCAAAGTAGATGGGGCCACACATGACCAAGTGCTCCCTGGGTGGGAGTGAGCTCACAGGCAGGCCAGTGAGTAGAGCTTTCAGCCCTGGAGGAGTTCACCACTGATGCTCCTGCAGGGCCTTAGTCCCCTCCTCCCCCACTGTCCTCCTGCACCATCAGTGGGTTGAGTCCCCAAGAGAGGGTTGCCTCACAGCACTATGGGCTGGGAACTGAGGGGTTGGCCTGTTTTGGGAATGGGGCCACCCAACCTGGCTTGCCCCCCACCATCCTCAGTCCCTCCGGTCCCTCCTTTCTTTCCCAGGAGACTCCAGCATCTCCAGCACCCGCAGGTACTGCCACTGGAGGCACCTCGCCATGGCCAGATAGCAGCTCTGACTGCTGGGGCTCAGAGCTGGAGCTGAGCAAGCCTGGCAGGCTGGTATCCAGGATGGACAGCCAACCGTTCTCGGGCTGCTCCGCAGACCTCGCCATCAGCCACAGTAACTCCCTGGGCATGGGGCCTGACAATGCTCCGGAGGAAAACGAGTACGAGTCTGAAGACACCATTAGGATCCACGGGGGCCCCAGTACCCCCATCCTGGGGGACAGCCCTGGGACACACACTGCCCCAGAATTCCGGGAGGAGGAAGAGTTGGAGGAGTTGCTGGTGGTCAGGAACTTGCCCTGGGCTCCGTGGCTTGGGGTGGCCGTGGCTGGGGTGCTCCTAGCTGCGCTCCTGGCCACACTGTACCGGCGGCGCCTACTCCAGTGAAACTCCTGGGCCCTCCCTGTCACACATCTGCTCCCTTTCCCATGGTACATCTGCCTGAGCCACTGAGTTGAGCTGTCCCACCATCCTTGACCCTATCTCTGGGTTGGCAGAGGCTGGATCAGAGGCGAGGCAGCATTTCCGTCCCAGCTCGTGACCTTGGCAGCTCCCCCACCATCCTTGGCTTTCTGGGCCCTGGGCTGCCCTGAGTGCTCCAGACCTCGCCCACCTGGCCATCTGGTTGTTGCCCTTATCCTCTGGAGGAGGTGCCCCCGTCTAGGCCTTATCCCTCTTTACCCAAGTGCAAGGATCAGGAGGTGCTACTGGAGACCGCAGGGGGTCGGAAACATCCCCCATCCTGCCCTGGTCCCTGGCAGCCAATGGGGCGGGTAGGAGACCCCACAGAACATCACTCCAGCCCCCAGTGGCCCAGCCTCAGGCTGTTGCCCCAGGAGCAGCGGGGTGGCCCATTTTCAAGGACTTAGTCCCCTGCCTCTCTGGTTCCCCTCCCCTGCCACACAAGGTTGGGGAGGAGGTCTGGAGATTCCCATGGACCCCTGGGAAGCCTGATCAGGTTCTAGGCCTGAGGACCACCTAAGTGCCTCTCTCCAGCCTTCTCATCCTGGTCTCTGTTCTCTTCAGCTCCGTATGGGGGTTGGAGAGGGAGCATGTGCAGGGCAGAGCTCAGGCCACGGTTTGGATTTCAGCTCCACCCCTTCTTGGGCTGTGTGGCCTTGGCAAATAATCAGCCTTCTCTGGTCTTGCTTACTCATGTGAACCCTGAGGATCATGGCTCATCCTTCACTGGGTTCTCCTGAGATTGAAGCATACACGTCTTTGTCAAGTGCCTGGTCCAGAGCAGGTGGCCACTAAATGCTTCTCTCACCTTTCCCTGCCCAGCCTGGTAGAGATGAGGGCATGAGAGGCAGAGTGCCCAGTGGGGAAGCGTGCACTGCTGCAGCAGTGTAGGATGGCCTAAGCCTGCATCCCATCTTACTAATTCTGTGCTCTTGGGCAAGCTGTTAACCTCTCTGTGCCTGTTTTCTCATCTGTAAAATGGGGATGAATAGTAAAATTTTATGTATACATATACATGTCCTAGTGTTGTGAGGATTAAATGAGTTTATCTATATAAATCTTAGAATGGTTCCTGACATTTCATTTACTAGGGGTGGATACATTATCTCTATTCAAATGTGGAGGGACTGGAGCACTTGGCCGTGCCTTTAGAAGCAGACCCAAACCCTACTGCCTATGCCTCTTTTATATTTGTCCCTTACTTTAGTCCATGCACTGCGGAATTGTTGGGGAGTGAGGAGGGAGGCATGTCCACTGGGGCAACTGTGCAGGGTGGGGGCTAGGGTGCCGCCCAGCAGACAGATGGATTGAGGGATATCCTTGTGGGTTCTTTCCCAGCAGCCATTGCTGGACAAGGGCCAGGCACAGGAGCCTCAGGAGCTACCTTCATTTCTGAGCTCTGCAAGGGATAGGAACTAGAACCCTGTGGAGACGTAAGGGGTAGGGCTCACTGTGGCCCACCCCCAGACTGTCAGTCTGCAGGGTACTGCACCCTGCTCTGGCTGCTACAGCCTTTCTCTACGCTGCCCTCGGGGACTTCAGCGACCTAATGACCTCTACTTATACCTCTGAGCTTCTCTTCAACCCTCTCTCCAAATGCAACCACCTGTACCCTGAAGCCAGGAGTGGTCCCTACCCAAGCTGTCTGCAACCACGCCCCATCACCCTTGCTCTTAACCCTCTGTGCTGCTTCCTCCCTCCCAGGTACCCAGGTCAGTGAACAGTTCATGAATAGGTACTGGTTTTAATGTGTTACCCTCCCAAGGTAGCTTTGGAAAAAAGTGTCTCAAGAAAGCAGCTTGTAGACCCAAAGAATGCTACTTAAATGGTAGAATTTCAAGCACAGTGACCAGCCATGTGGGAGATACCTTTGGGTAAGGTGTGTAGGAAACATTTAGGGACCATCCTGGCACTTTTCAAATTATGCTGCTCAGAAGCCCTGACTTGGCCTGCATTGAACAGCATTCCTATTTTGGCTGTTGTCAATAAAATGCCAACTTCAAGCAGGATTGGGAATTAGCCTGTGGCCAGGAGAAGGCTTGGGGTAGTTGATAAGAGATGGGGAAGCACCCTTCACCTCGGGGTAAAGGCTGGGGTGGGGCCAGAAGGCCCAGTGACATCCTAAGCGCTTAAGGGCAGACTCAGCAGTAGCCAAGGTACCTGCACATAAATCCCTCTCCATCTTTTCTCTCTCCTGTTGAAACATTTTCTTCAAAGCCCAAGAGCTACCACTGCTTCTCTTCCCCTGGGAAACACCTGCCGATTCTGCTTGATGACCCACTGAAGCCAGACTAATACCACACTCTCACCTTGCTTCCCTTGGTTGGATGTGCTCACGTACAGAAACTAGAATAATTACCTCTCCCCTCCACGTGCCCATTACACACCTTCAATAGTTATGGAATCATGGATAGTCTTGTTCATCCCTGCCTGATTCCCCCTTTTCTGTACAGGTTCTTTTTGTAAGTCAGAAAGTGAAGAGTTCAGAAAGTCAAGGGGAAGACTTGGGACAGGAGGATTCTGTGGCAAAGGCCCTCTTTTTTCTTCCAAGGCATTCCCCTCTTGGTTTCTTGGCCTCAGTGGGTGACATCCCTCTTGAACCAGTTCAAAGCGTGAGTAGCACTGGTTCCCTGTCTTGGGAGGAGAGAACCAGAGGAGGTTCCTTCACTGACAAGCTCCTTGGAAGTATCTGGCTACTGCTTCTGTCCCAGAGAGGTGATGATTGATGGGCAGTTTGCCCCATTGCACGAGGGGTCTCCTTTAGGCTCTGACAAAGCCCTTCCAGCAGGCAGAAATTCCCATTCTTGGCCAGATTCAAACTTCACAGCATGTGTCCTGCTCTTATAGGAGTCTCCTAGAAATGGAGTCATTCAAGCCTTGAGGTCCCTTGCTTTCTACCAATGCACTATTGTGAAGCTGATGGCCAAGGAACACCTCCACCCCCACCTTCAGGGAGAGTACTGTTCAGGGTCCCTGGGCTAGTCTGTGCTGGAAGTGATAACTCTTTATGGATAAAAATCACATGCTCCCCTTTCTGCTCTTTTCTGCGTAGCCCAGGGCCATGAAGTTCACACTTGGTGCAGGGCATGGTCACTCAGCATTCCTCATCCCTGCTGCTGCTGCTGTTAATAACAGCAATAATAAAAAGTGCTACCACTTACCCCATACCTTGTTGCATACCAGGTGCTGGGCTAGATGCCTTACATGTATTAACTTGTTTAATCCTCACAATGACCCTATGAAACGGATACAAGTATGACCCAATTTACAGCTGATCTGCAAGACTGGGAGGGACAAAGGACCAGAGGGGACAATGCAAGGGAAGACTCTGGCCTGTGGGCCTCAGAGTTGGATGTTCTCCATGCCCATGACCCACAGCTGATCAGGTGTCTGGAGCCTGGGACCCCATTTAAAGTGAGATTTCACACCATCACATCTCTGCCTGGTGTGCCAAGATCTGCCACCTGCTATAATAGTGTAATGATGTGCAATATACAATTAATATAGTCTCAGGGATGCTGTGACAATATGAATATAATCATCTTGTATGTGCCCAGGCTCAGTGGCCTGAGGCTGAATGAGGTGAGGCAGCTGGAGGTCAGTTTGGTTTAGCAGATATTGTTTGTTAAAGGATTCCCCTGTGCCAGGTCTAAGGCCTAAAATGAGTAAGACACCTGCATACCCTCCAGTGGTCGGGAATGACAAAGTATGGTGGAGACATATAGGCTTTCATGTCATTTTTTTTCACGTATTTATACAACAGATACTTATTTTGCTCCTACTGAGTGCAGAGTATGGGGACAGGCCTTGGAGAGACACAATAATAACACAAAAAGCCCACCTTAAGTGCCCCCTTCTATCACTCACTGTCTCCAGTATAATTGTGAGTGGTCTAAAGGAGTGTCTAAAAGCAAGGGCAGGGGTGGGAGGGAGGAGAGAAAAGTGTTGTTTTGATCAGTCATGTACTATTACAGTAGAATACTAGTGCACAACAATGAATACGAATGAAAATATTGCTACACTCAATGTGGATATATTGCACAGACATGATGTTGAGAAAAAGAAGTCAGTACAGGGCTTCCCTGGTGGCGCAGTGGTTGACAGTCCGCCTGCTGATGCAGGGGACACGGCTTTGTGCCCCGGTCCGGGAAGATCCCACATGCCGCAGAGCGGCTGGGCCCGTGACCCATGGCCACTGAGCCTGCGCGTCCGGAGCCTGTGCTCCGCAACGGGAGAGGCCACAACAGTCAGAGGCCCGCGTACCGCAAAAAAAAAAAAAAAAAGTCAGTACACACACAAAAGTGTTGATTGGGTGATTCTATTCATACAAAAAGTACAGAAATAAGCAAAATTGATCTATGGCATTGAAAGTTGGCATGGTTACCTTTGATTTGGGTGTTGGTTTCATGAGTACGTTCAGTTTGTGTACAGAATCGCTTTAGAGATATGGAGATAAACCAAGGTCACCCAAATGAGAACAAACATAGGCTGTTCATTCTGAGCTTGTAAGAGCAGCCACTGTCACTTGCATTTGGCCAGGAGGGTATCAAAGGCAGGCAGGGACTGGGAAAACACTGTGGTGAATAAAAGAAAGGGAAGGCTTCAGATGTGCTGTGATTGGAAGTTGTTTGCCTGGGACACTGGAGACTGGCTAACTAGAAGAGGGGCACCTTATGGAATTGGTTGGGGAACATATTTGACTTTCTCTGGTTGGTCCCGAGATGGAAGAGAGGGAAGAGGTGGTTGGGGATTAGGAAGAAGCTGGCACACATTAGCCAAGACCTGATCATTCTGGATGACTGCTGCAGAGGCTGTGGTTTGGCTTTCCAGGCTGGTTACTGCAGAGTTCTATTGCCATATATGGTCTGGCCACTATCCTTTTGTATATTCAGTCTCTCAGAGGGAAGGATATGGGCTCTGAGAGG